CCGGGTTTCACACATGGATGGCGCTAACGACATATGTAGTCGACATGTCTGAAGTTGTTTTTTTATAGCTTCTGTTAAAGGATATCTGTTAACAATAACCAGTCGTAATACCAATACATATCGTAACGCAAAAATATTTTTTTCTAACAACGAAGATGTCGAGTTTTGTGCCAAATAAACAGCATTTGCGGGAAGCTTTGCTTTTCTGCTTTAACTTGAAAAAAAGTACAACTGAAACATGTCGTTTGCTTGAGGAGGCCTACGGCGAACATGCACCATCGAAAACTACCTGTGAAGATTGGTTTAAACCCTCCAGAAGTGGCGATTTCGACACTGAGGACAAGGAGCGCTCCGGAAGACCAAAAACAATTGAGGACGCCGATCTGCAAGCGTTATTGGATGAAGATGATACGCAAACACAAGATCAACTTGCGGAGGCATTAAACATGACTCGCCAAGGTATTTCCAAACGTTTACATGCCATGGGAAAAATTCAAGAGGAAGGAAAATGGGTGCCGCATGAGTTGACTGAGAGACAGATGGAAAATCGAAGAGCCACTTCCAAAATTTTGCTTTTGCGGCATGAAAAAGAGTTTCTGCATCGAATTGTTACCGGCGATGAGAAGTGGATATATTTCGAGAATCCCAAACGCAAAAAATCGTGGCTTTCACCTGGCGAAGCATCAACATCGACGGCACGGCCAAATCGCTTCGGAAAGAAGACAATGCTCTGCGTTTGGTGGGACCAGAAAGGAATCGTATACTATGAGATGCTGAAACCAGGCGAAACTGTCAATGGGCATCGCTACCGACAACTGATCAATTTGAACCATGCATTGCTCGAAAAACGGCCAGAATGGGACACGAGACACGAACGAATGATACTGCAGCACGACAACGCTCCGTGTCATCGCAATTCCATCGTCCAGGACACTATCAAAACGCTGAAATGGGATCTGCTACCGCACCCGCCGTATTCGCCAGACCTGGCCCCTTCCGATTATCACTTGTTCCGGTCGATGGCGCATGGCTTGGCTGGACAATACTTGGCCAATTTCGAAGAAGTGCAAAATTGGTTGGATGAATGGTTTCGGTCCAAAGACGCGTCGTTTTATCGTCGCGGTATTCATATATTGCCAGAGAGATGGCAAAAATGTGTAGCTAGCGAGGGACGATACTTTGAATAAACCATTTTTTGTATTTCTCTTGAAATTTTCCATTTTTCATTGATCAGAAAAACCCGGAAACTTAGTTGCGCACCTAGTAATTGACAGAAATTAGAAAAGTCTTTATAGAGGACCAACGAAAAAAGTTGAATTCCATTATACTGTACTTCAATTGATTGTTCTAGATACCTGTAGTTTCTTTTCGATTGGCATGGAAAATATTTTTTTATTATTCGGACGATTCACTTCGTATCTACTTGAAAATTTTTCCCTCTTTCTAATTTAAAATGGCTGAGCTTTCTGAACGCGAGCGAATATCTCTATTGATGATGAGAGGATGGGGTGATCAACAAAGAGGTTTTAAACAAGTCATGCGACTATTCAATGAAATTTTCCGGAATAAAAATAATAAAATCTCAAAGATTACTGCAGTGCATACTACCCAACATTTTGAGGAAAATAGTAGTATTAGAAATCATCCCAAATCTAGTAGACCTGCTACAGCAACGAATGATAATAAAGCATTGGATGTTTTACAGTCTTTTATCGAAGATCCCCATACTTTGTATAAATCGTGTTGCACAACACGAAATTGGAACTGCATCTGTTTACAAGATCCTCAAAAAAAATAAATAAATGGCATCCGTACAAACTTCATTTAGTCCAAGAATTATCTGAAGATGATTTGGATAGACGCCTGGAGTTTTGCGACCTTATGATGGAAATGATTACTGATGATCCTTTAATCCTTGATAATACTGTTTTTTCGATGAGACAACATTTGAGTTGACTAGAAATGCAAATAGACATAATTGCAGATAGGACTTCCGTTTCCGGAGCGAGTGAGAGTTAATGTGAGAAAGAAGGAGTGTAGAAGAGTGACTGTGAAAGGGAAAAGAGAGAGTGGTAGAAGGACGGTGGAGAGGGGAGAGGAGGGAGAGGGAAGTGAAGCAGGTGGAGGAGTATAGGTGGAGCGAAGGGAAAGACGGGAGAGGAGGGAGCGGTGGAAGAAGTGAGAGAGAGGTTAGGGTGGAAAGAAAGACGGGGCGTACGTAAGACCGGAGAGTGGGAAAACGTAAAAGAGGAAACTGTAAGGAGAATAGAAAGTAGGGGAAAAGAACTAGGGAGGATAGAACTAGACGAGAGTGGTAAGCAGGATAGGAAAGTGCAGGGAATAACTAGGGGAACGTTTGAATACTGGAAGGAAGGCAGGGAGGAAAGGAGGAAAGTGAAGAGAGGAAGGTGGTCAAGGGAAAGGGCAGAATATGGCGGAAAGATATGAGAAATTGATAGTGAAGGAAGGCATAGGAGTAGTGATAGACAGGGAGAGGAGGGGAAGTGAGGGAAGCTTGTTGGATGAAATAGCGAAGAGGAAAAGGGATAGGATGGAAGCAACAAAGGAGGACGAAAGGGGAGAAAGGGAGGATGGAGGAGAAAAGTTTGCATTTAAAAAGGGGAGAAGACTACAGAGATCACCACAGAGGGAGGAGGGACAGAGTGGGGGGAGGAAAAGCAATGGGGATATAGAATGATGGAGGACTGAAAGAAGGAGATGAAAGAAGAATTGCAGGAAATGAAAGAAGCACTGAAGGAGGAGGTAAGAAAGCAAGGGAAGGAAATGAAAAAGGAATTGGAGGAACTTAGGAAACAAATGGAAGAAAGGGAGAGTGAATGGAGGAAAGAGAGAGAGAGGGAATGAGGGGAAGAATAGAGAGATTGGAAGAGATGAGGGAAAAGAGGGGGGAGGAGATAGGGGAGAGAAATAACAAAGACATGAGGGAAAGAATGAGAGGAGTTGAGAGGAAGTTAGAAATGAGAGAAAGAGAGGAAAGAAGAAAGAATGTGATAGTAGGGGGAATGAGGGAAGGGGAGATTGAGGCAAGGGAGAAGATAAGGGAGATGTTTAAGGAAATGGGAATAGTAACAGAAATCGAGGAAGTGAGAAAGATAGGAAGGGAGAAAGGGACAGAAGAGGGGAGGAGGATTGTGAAAGTAAGCAAAGTGGAAGGGAAGAAGGAGATAATGATAAGAAAAAGAGAATTAAGGAAGAAGGGAATAAGGATTGATGATGACTTGACACGGAGAAAGAGGAAAATGAGATGGAGATTATCAGATGATGTATATGTTTAGTCGAAAATGGGTGAAATTCTTGATAACAGACTCGTAATATAAGAAACGCCTAAATTATTACTTATTTATTAGGAGTACAAATAAGTTTCCGCCGTTTTCTATAAAAAATTAGGAATTTATTATGAAAGAACGGTACATTACGTTTTATTCAAAGTATTGTCCATCATTAGCCACTACTTTTTCCCATCTTTCTGGCAGCATTCGGATACCACGTTGGAAGAACTCTTCATCTTTTGAGGCTATCCACGAATCGACCCAATTTTTAGTATCTTCATATGATGTAAAGCGCTGCTTAGACAGGCCATGTGCCATCGACCGGAACAAGTGATAATCGGAAGGGGCAGTGTCTGGTGAATATGGCGGGTGGGGTAGGACTTCCCAATTAAGTGTTTCTAAATAGGTTTTGACCGGTTTTGCAACATGTGGCCAAGCGTTGTCATGTAGGAGAATAATTTTGTCGTGTCAGGAGTAGTAATGGGCGCGTTTTTCCTTGAGTGCTCGGCTCAATCTCATTAATTGTGTTCGGTAGAGAACTCCAGTAATAGTTTCGCTCGGTTTGAGCAACTCATAATACACGACAACAAGCTGATCCCATCAAATACACAGCATGAGTTTTTCTCCATGAATATTCGGTTTGGCTGTCGATGTTGAAACATGGCCAGGAAATCCCCATGATTTTCTCTTCTTTGGGTTATCGTAGTGGATCCATTTTTCATCACCAGTGACTATACGATGCAAAAAACCCTTTCTTCTATGCCTGGCAAGCAGCATTTCACACGTGCAAAATCGGCGTTCAACGTCTCTCGGCTTCAGTTCATATGGAACCTAATTTCCTTGTTTTTGAATCATTCCCAACGATTTTAAACGATGTGAAATTGCTTGCTGACTCACTTCTAATGTAAGTGCAAGTTCTTCTTGCGTTTGGCACAAATCTTCCTCCAATAATGCTCCCAATTCCGTGTCTTTGTACACTTTCGGCCTTCCACTACGTTCTTTGTCTTCCACGTCAAACTCACCGTTTTTAAACTTTTGAAACCACTCACGACAACTTCTCTCACTTAAAGCAGTCTCACTATATGCTTCTACAAGCAATCGGTGCGTCTCAGCTGCAGATTTCTTCAAATTAAAGAAGTAAATCAAAAGTTCCCGCAAATGACGCTTATTCGGCATAAAACTTGACATTTTCGCATGAAAAAAATTATGTGATGCTGAGTCACTAATACTTCAAGGTTATGTTGTTACCAAATGTCCAAACTTACGATATTACGTTTTACATCTGACAATTTCAACATAACCTTCTGGTGGGGCCATTTTTTGTCTAACGGCGGAAACTTATTTGTACTCCTAATATATTTACATCCTTATATTACAAGCTGTCAAAACACATAATCTCCAGAAATCGTTAAACTGCGATCTGTTAAATTCGTTTATGCATAATCTTTGCAATGAAGTAAGCCGCAACGCGTCAAGGAGATAGATAATTAACATTGTGAAAATAATTTTCGTCGATATATGCGAAAATCCGAGTTTTCAGATTTTCTTTAGAAGAAAATTATGGTCCATATTCTAAACTCTCTTTCATCATTAAAAGTGACTCTAAAAGTAGCTTGTAACCAATCAAAAAGCTTATAAGCCACTTTTATAGTCATTTTTAACAATAAAAGAATGTTCACAATATAAGCCTAAATATTTATTATATTTAAATATTAAATATAAAATATTGTGCAACTCACTTTGTTTTGGAGAGATTGGGATCACTGGTCTTCCTTTTTTCCCTCAACTGTCGCTACAAGATAAAAAATGTGATCAAACAGTTTGGTTGTGTGTAGGTATTATAATTTGATTTAAACAAAATAAATATTAAAGGATTTAATTAATATTAAATAAATATTAAAGGATTTGTTTAGAAAACAAATGTTTATGGAGATATATGTCTATGAAAAATCCTTAATAATTTTGATCTTGACGTATCAGGTGTAGTAAAAAGAAATCCATTATTTTTCCAATAGATGGCTTTAGTTATCTGTATCTCGCGTTGTATAAGTCCGATCGGGTTCCACTAGATGGCGTTAAAAAGATGAGATTTCGTACCAAAAAAACTTTTCTGACAGTTTAGTGATTAGTTGACTCAGTTTTGTTTGAGCGCGTGTCAAAGATGGATACTAGCAAAGAGAAAATACGCTATATTTTACAGTTTTTCTTCGATAAAGGCGAAAACGCAAGCCAGGCGGCTGAAAATGTGAATAGTGTTTATGGTCCTGATACTGTAACAGCCAATCACGCGCAATTTTGGTTTCGTCGATTCCGTTCCGGTAATTTCGATATCACAGATGCACCACGCACTGGAAGGCCAATTGTCGAAAATATCGATAAAATCATGGACATTGTCGAGTCCGACCGTCATGTAAGCTAAACTATTTCGATTGCCCAAGAGCTAAAGATTGCACAAAAAACCGTTTGGAACCATTTGAATAAGGCTGGATACAAAAAGAAGCTCGATGTATGGGTGCCACACGAGTTAACGAAAAAAAACCTTACGGACCGAATTTCCATCTGCGAATCGCTGCTGAATCGCAACAAAATCAACCCATTTCTGAAGCGGTTGGTCACTGGTGATGAAAAGTGGATCACTTACGACAACGTCAAGCGAAAACGGTCGTGGTCGAATCGCGGTGAGCCGGCGGAAACGGTGGCCAAGCCAGGATTGACGGCCAGGAAGGTTTTGCTGTGTGTTTAGTGGGATTGGCAGGGAATTATCTACTATGAGCTGCTCCCCTACGGCAAAATTCTTAACTCGGAACTGTACTGTCAACAATTGGACCGTCTGAAGGAAGCAATCGCCCAGAAGAGGCCAGCTTTGGCCAATAGGAGAGGAATTGTGTTCCATCAGGACAACGCCAGGCCACACATATCGATAGTGACTCGCCAGAAGCTCCGGGAGCTTGGTTGGGAGGTTCTTATGCATCCACCTTATAGTCCGGACCTGGCACCAAGTGATTACCATCTGTTCCTGTCCATGGCGAACAATTTTGCTGGTGAAAAATTCGCTTCAAGAGAGGCTTGTGAAAATCGACTGTCTCAATTTTTTGCCAATAGGGACGAAGGCTTCTATGAGAGAGGCATAATGAAATTACTTTCAAAATGGCAACAAGTTATCGAACAAAACGGCCCATATTTGACCTAAATCGGATCATTCTAACTATGATAATTAAAGCTTTCAATTTCATGCAAAAATAATGGATTTCTTTTTGGTACACCTGATATATTGTAAAGATCATAATCCTGAATAATTTTCAAGAGATTTTAGTGTCGCAGCTCATTGTTTATTAAAAAGTTATTAATAAAGAAATTTCATAAATATAACATGAATTAGAGACATCTCCAATTGTAATTAATAATGTTACGTAATATAATTAACGTTGATGTTTTTAGCCGTTATTCATATAATTAAAATTCATGTAACTAAAATAAAATCGATATAAGGTGGCATGACAAAATGTAAATAACATGGACAAGTTTAATAGAAGTGACACGTCTACGGATAATTATTTTTATAAACGTTATAAAAAATTTATAACAAGTAAAATGTTTTAAAACCTGTTTTTAAACTCGTATATTCCATTTTCACTGTTTTTGTTGCAATATTTTTTTTGTATCTATAAATTTTAATAAAATTTTAATAAAATAATTTTAATAAAATTGATTTTATGGTTTAGTTTCATCACCTTTTAAATACTTTCAAGTCTTGATATAAAATAATTACATGAATGAAGTTCAAGAATTTACATAAATTATTATTATTACTCTGTTTTAGATCAAAATTATTAAGATCAAAATTATTAAGGATTTTTCATAGACATAAATCTCCTTTCATAAAGATTTGTTTCCTAAACAAATCCTTTAATATTTATTTAATATTAATTAAATCCTTTAATATTTATTTTGTTTTTACATAATGAAATGTTTATAAATAATGGATATAAATATAATTACCTTATGATGTATCCGCTCCTTGTAACTTTCAGATCTATTGATGTTTGACGCCTTTGGCTTACTGGTAATATTTTGCTGGACCCTAAGTAATCGCAATTAATAAAACGTAAATTAATGTTCACGAGTAAATCAGATGCATAAAACAATAAATATTTATTATCGATATATTGACATATTTGCGATATGTATTATATAGAATAGAAAGATAAAAATAAAAACCTACTAATTTAAAAAGTTCTTGAAGTAAATTAAAGAAAATTTATTGTATAATGAAGATAAAATCAAAATTATAAATTGTAATAATTGTACAAAAGATCATTGATTTGAAAATAAAAATGTATTAAAACGTTTCGTTCAAGCTCAAGAAGTTAAGTTAATCATAAATTAAAATATTAAAATTGAAGTATACACAAACACATAAATACATACAATAAATATATTATATTATACTAGACATGATCTTAATAATTTAATTAAGATACGTTGAATTATAAGGATTGAGTAATAAGTAATTAAAAATTAAATTAAAAAGTTAGTAACTTTTAACTTGACTTACAAGGAGATGCCACGAACTGCTAACTCTACTTTTGAATGAGCTATAGTGCATTCGAAAGGGGAGGTCGAGAGTATAAACTGTGTCAGAGCTTTTGGGTGTATGGGTTTTAGTTTCGGGGAAAATTTATTGTAAAATGATATATTTTTCAGCTGTACGGTAAGTACAATGGATAGCCATAATTTTGCATGGAGCGTGCTGGCTGTGCAGGTTAGGCGTGCAGCTACTACTTTGCATCCGTGCGAGCAGAGTTCAATTCCCCGTAGTGACAATTTTTTTTTGTTTTTTTTTAGAATAAATGATTGTTTATGAATTAATTGTAAATTTATTTATTTATTATTCGTTATAGTAAGAGAACGTATACATAATGAAAAATATCAATAAATTTTGTGTTTTTATTGTACTGTGTCTTTATTCATTATAAAATTCCAACATCACTGTACAATGTTGCGGGTGATAATTTATATAAAAACATTCGAAGCATAAATGGATCGCACACCATGAACATTTTATAAACGAAAACTGTGTATTGCAGATACATTTTTTTTTATGTACATCCGGTGGAAAACACAATTGATTAACATTATAAAATATGTCACGTTTATCTGCTAATTTTGACGCGTACCAAGCGAATTCAATTGTTTTTATATATCGCGGAGCACATAATAAATAATGAGTTAATGATTGAATTCGAATTGCATCATATCGCGAATTTAATTCTTTCTTTTCTTCGCTAACCATAATATCCGGACAATTTTGAATACGTTTTATAATAATTTTCACTTGCCTATAAAAATCCATTTTTATTATATAAAATCAATTTAACACAAAGGATGCTCGCAGACTTGCTTACTGATCGACACACGTGAGAACAGTGAGGGAAATCCAACTGACTTTAGGGTCACGGTCCTAACGGTTGTTGCCTGTGCGCATGTGCCACAGACAAATACTAGAAACTTCTTAAAAAGTCCGTTATATGATGCAATTCGAATTCAATCATTAACTCATTATTTATTATGTGCTCCGCGATATGTAAAAATGATTGAATTCGCTTGGTACGCGTCAAAATTAGCAGATAAACGTGACATATTTTATAATGTTAATCAATTGTGTTTTCCACCGGATGTACATAAGAAAAAATGTATCTGCAATATGCAGTTTTCGTTTATAAAATGTTCATGGTGTGCGATCCATTTATGCTTCGAATGTTTTTATATAAATTATCACCCGCAACATTGTACAGTGATGTCGGAATTTTATAATGAATAAAGACACAGTACAATAAAAACACAAAATTTATTGATATTTTTCATTATGTATACGTTCTCTTACTATAACGAATAATAAATAAATAAATTTACAATTAATTCATAAACAATCATTTATTCTAAAAAAAACAAAAAAAAATTGTCACTATGGGGAATTGAACTCTGCTCGCACGGACGCAAAATAGTAGCCGCACGCCTAACCTGCATAGCCAGCGCGCTTCATGCAAAATTATGGCTATCCATTGTACTTACCGTACAGCTGAAAAATACATCATTTTACAATAAATTTTCTCTGAAACTAAAACCCATACACCCAAAAGCTCTGACACGGTTTATACTCTCGACCTCTCCTTTCGAATGCACTATAGCTCATTCAAAAGTAGAGTTAGCAGTTCGTGGCATCTCCTTGTTAGTTAACTTCAAACATGCCAACTTTTAACTTAAAGTTTTCAACCAATAATTTTTTTAAATATATTAACATTTACTTATTAATTTTCTTCAAGTCACAAATTAAAATAATTCACCAATATTAAAGTCCTATGAAAATAGTTGATCGCAATGTGCGTAAAAAACAAGAAAGAGAAAGAGAGAGAGGAAGAGGGAAAGGGAGAGAGAGAGAGGAGGAAAGGGAGAGAGAGGGGGAGAGGGAAAGGGAGAGGGGAAGGGGAGATGTGGGGAGGGGGAAGAACAGGATGGAGGGGGAGAGACAGCGGGAGCGGGAGAGAGAAAAGAAAAAAGAACGCACATGTACGGTGGAGTAGATCAAATTAAACGGAAAACTACCATTTTGTAAATTTCATAATAGTTATTAAAAAATTAATTAAACAGTATTAGTGGATATGTACGCATAATGCGGCGGGATAATCTTTATAAAGTCTCATTCAAAATGACTCGAGTTCGTTGGTGATCTAGCAAAGGCAAATACGGTGCATGATGATAGACATTGGAATTATGCAATTAGTATCATACACCACTTACTGTTGCTAATAGTTCATCAACAAATTGGAGCCTCTTTGGATGACATCTTATCTGCAGAGCTCTTCCCTCCGCTTACCGCATACTCATTCCCTAACATTGTTTAATTAATTTCTTAATAACTATAATTCCTAATATTCTATAATTCCTAAAATGATACAGGATTTTCCTGTTCAGTTTTGTTCGCGCTTATCACGGACGTCGCGTCTCCGACCTGCTGAGATGCGCGAACGCCGGTTCCAGCGACGCGCGATTGCTGGATTCGCCTCGCGAGAGGCGCAAGGGATCGAAAGAAAATCGCTTGCTTCATCAAGCGGTGAGGAGCAACGAGTCAACCACTTCTCATGGTGCGGATATCTTTATTATAACCGACCACTCGTTATATTATTATAAAATGAATGTCGGTAGTTGGGCGGATTCAGCTTGACGGAATTTCCAATCGCAGAGTCCGTCCGGCGGGATCGTTTACTTTGTCGCGGTTTGGATCAGGCTCGCGCTTGTAAGGACCGATGGTCCTTCTACTGACGAAGATTCGGGGCGCAATTCGCAGAAAAAGTCGGTGCTTACCGAGCTGGCGCGCGCTCACGTGTCGCTGAAATTAGCGTAAGTCGGCGATGGTAAAAAAACGGTACAAAAAGAAAGAGGGCGAGCTCGATGAATCTTCGAATATATATTTCGCTTCAAACGCAGACGATAATTCGAACAAAGATAAAGAAAACAAAACGAAAACAAAAAAAAAGGAAAACAACACGAGAAATTAAGAAACAAACTAGAACCGACGCGTGATTGTCTCGTGTTGATATGCGGCGTCCGCGTGCGCGCCGCATGAGCGTCGACACTTCCAAATCATGTCTCGGAACGCCGTGAAAGGAGGAATCGAACCTCCAGCGCATGCTGCCGCGCGAACAAGTTTGATTTGTTCTGCTTGCACACAAGCAATTTGTCTTTCATTCTTTTTAATTGTTCTTAATTGAGTGTTTAGTTTTAAACATTCTAATATCTCTATTGTAACAATTGTACTTTTTAAATAATATATATTATTAAAAAAGGCAGAATGTATTATCTCTTTTATAAAGTCCTACTTGATATCAAAATACTTTTGTAAAATATCTTTTTATTAATAGATATATTAAAGACTCTAACAATGTATAGTATGCTAATAGAATGCTGCACGGACCAAACAGATCGTTTATTGAGAACTCGAATTCTTGAATATAAACGAATTAATTATAGGAACTTATAAATGGTAGACGAGCATCGAATTAACTTTGGCCATAAATTTGTCTCTGATAATCTGGAAATATTAAATTGCGAACTGTTTTATAGATGGTTACTTTCCGAAATATTACGAGGGTAGTCCCAGAAGTACCCGACCTAATAAAGAAATCACAAAAAATTTGGGAAAAATATCTTTATTCCTCTACATAGTCTCCTTTTAGCTCAATACACTTTTCCGCGATGTTCAATAGCTTCGATACCCGGTTTATAGTGGGAATCATCGAGCTCCTCAAAATAGTCATCAACCGCAGACTCCACCTCTTCATTGTTGGCAAATCTTTTACCACCGAGCCATTTTTTCAAGTTTGGAAACAGAAAATAATCCGAGGGGGCTAACTCTGGCGAATAGGGTGCGTGAGAAAGCAATTCGAACTTTAACTCATTGATTTTGGCCATCGCGATAACGGATGTGAACTGGTGCATTGTCTTGATGAAACAAAACTTTCTTTTTCGCCAGATGCGGCCGTTTTCTCTAGATTTCATCACTCAAACGCTGCAATAAGTTCGCATAATATTCGCCGTTGATTGTTTTCCCTTTCTGAAGATAATCAATGAAAATTATCCCACGCGCATCCCAAGAATCTGACGCCATGACCTTGTCTGCAGATGGAACTGTCTTTGCCTTCTTTGGAGCCGATTCTCCCCCTTCAGTCCATTGTTTTGACTGTTTCTTCGTCTCTGATGTGAAGTGATGAACCCATGTTTCATCCATGGTTATGAATCGACGCAAAAACTCGGCTTTATTGCTGTGAAACTTCGCCAAACACTCGATTGAAACATCCTCACGACGCTGTTATTGTTCCATTGTGAGTAATCGCGGCACCCATCTTGCGCACAGCTTTCTCATGTCCAAATTTTCAGTCAATATGCGATGTACAGCACTTATTGAAATGCCTACCATGTCTGCTAACTCGCGTACTTTCAGTCGGCGGTCATCCAATACCATTTTATGGATTTTCTTCACCATTTCTGGCGTGGTCACCTCATTTGGTCGACCACTGCGATGTT